CCCCTTTCGCTGCCCCCTCCCCCGCCCTGCAGGCGTGGCCAGAGGCTGACCTCGTGATCAGCACAGGCACAGCCGGCGGCTTCAAGGCCAAGGTGCGCGAAAACTCGCAAGCGCGCGCGGGGGCTCTCCGCCCCTCGGCAGCGGCGCGTGCCTCCGCTGCCCGGCCGGCGCCCCCCCATTCATTGTCACCCGCGCGCCCCTGGTCGTGCTGCCAGGACCAGCACCCCCCTGCCACCCTCCCCATCATGGTACGCGGACCTGCAGCGTCAGCGTCGCCGGCGGCGGCGGCGGCGCTGAACGGCCGCGCGGATTTTGGGCCTCTCTCCAAGTTTCTCGAGTGTGTCTCCCATCCTCCCCCTCCCCCCCTGTGCGCGCAGGGTGCTGCTATTGGGGACGTCTTCGTGTCAACAGGCAAGATGCACCACGACAGGCGCATCCCGCTGCCAGGCTTCGACAAGGCGCGCACCTGCCCGCCTTGCCCCCGCTGCCCGCGCGCGCACCGTCGCCGCACTCGGCGTGGACAATTGGGGCGGCGCGCCCCTGGGGCCGGCGGGGTGTGGCGCCGCGGCCCCGGTCTGGGAGGGGGCACGCGCTTGGCCAGCACAAAGGGCTTCTGACCATGCAGGTCAATCGCATTGCCCAAGCCTCATATGCGGCCACCTCATCGGCGACCACGCTATCGGCCAACACAGTCATCTTGCACCCCCTATTCTTCAGCCGCCCCGGCCAGCATCAACCACCGCAACTCCCTGCGTCCAGCCTCCATGCGCGTATTCAACGCCGGCCCCATCCATAATCTTGGCACCTCAGCCTCTCAAGTGACTTCCGACCCACCGCTCCCCTCTCATGCGACCAACATGCAAATACCCGTGCGCAGTTTGGCATCGGCTACATCGAGACCGTGCCCACCCCCAACCTGCAGGCGTCGCTCGGCCTCAAGCCGGGCGTCGTCACCAGCGGCGACTCGCTCGACTACACGGTCAGCGCCGCAACCCAGCCGGGGCCGCGCGTCACAACGCGGTCCCTGTGGGCTGCTTGCGGCGCACTGCACCAGTGATGTAGCCCGTCCTGCCCACTGCCGCGGCTGTTTGGCGACACTGCTTACTCCTTGTGGCTGCACCATTGCTGGCAGCTCTTCCTCACCGACTTGACTTTCGACACACGTTCCAAAACGAATTTATTTTCGTACCATAAACGGAGACTTCCCAGCAGCTGCCAACACCACACATCAATCAACAACGCGCGCCCGGCCTCCCAGGACAAGTGCCTGGAGATCATGCGGGACGGCGGGGCGGCTGTGAAGGAGATGGAGGCGGCCTCCATAGCCTGGACGGCTCAGCTCTTCAAGAAGCCGGTGGTCTGCATCAAGGTGGGGGCTTGCGCGTGTGCGTACATGTGTGTTTGTGTGTGTGTGTGTGCATCAAGGTGGAGGCTTGTGCATGTGTGCGTGCGTGCGTGCGTGTGTGTGTATGCGTGCGTGTGTGTGTGCGCGTGTGTTTGTGTGTGTGTGTGTGTGTGTGTGTGTGTGAGTCTGTGGGTTTGTGTTTGTGTGTGTGTGTGTGTGTGTGTGTGCGTGCGTGTGTGTATGTGTTGGGCACGCGCGTTCGCATGCGTGCGCGTGCGTGTGTGTTGTGGGCGCGCACGTTCGCATGCGTGTGTTGTGATGTTGAACCCCTTGAGTCAAGGGACTTGGGTCAAAGGAGTCAAGACACGCAGTCGCGTGCATGGGGTCTGAAGGGGGTTGCAAAGGGCGCTATTGTGAGGCTCACTTATGGGGCCAGCACTGCCCACTGTCAGCTTGTGCGCCAGCCGCCCCCCTGGCCCCCCTCAGGGTGTTGCTCTCCTGTATAAGCCTGTTTCCCCTTTCTCAGACCCTGGCTGGGACCTCAACCCCTCCTGCCCCCTCCCTCCTGTCAATACAACCCCCCATACACACACACACACACACGCGCGCGCGCGCACACACCCACAGGCCATCACTGACATCGTGGATGGCGACAGGGCCACGCAGGACGAGGTGCGTCACCCGTCCGCGTCGTGTTGTCTGCTCCTAAATGTGTTCTTGATGACCAAACGCATTTCAGCGCTGGCCAGCACCGCCAAAGTCATACTGCCTTCTTGTCCTGCTCGAGACACAATTCGCGGTGCGGACAAGGTGCCCCCCTCCTGCCACGGACCCCGATAACGAAACCGCCCCCCGGCAGTTTCTCGAGAACCTCAACAGCGCGGCGGCGGCGCTGCAGGGGGTGCTGCCGCGGGTGATCGAGTTCATCGGCGGCAGGGCGGTCTCGGAGCTCTGATGGGGCAGGGCCGCGCCCGGCGGCGGCGCAGCTCGGGCGAGGCCGCACCTGGAGGCGCCGGCAGGCGCAGCGCGGCGCGTGGGCTGAGTACCGCTTGCGGCTGCTGCACGGCGGCCTGGGCCGCTGCGTTGCCCTCTCGCGTGCGGCCAGGCTGCAGGAGGCGCGGATACGCGCCTGCCGGCATCACCAGTGCACGATGCAGGGAAGCCCCCCCCCCCACGCCTTGCGGTGGGCACGCTGCTGGGGAGCGGACCTATAAAATGATCCCAACGCGTTCAGGGCGGGACCAGCCTCCAAACGCTGACTTACAAGAACTCTTCCTGGTCGCCTGTTTCACACAAGGTCCTGCTTCAATCAAACAGCCATTCCAGCCATATTGGTGGAAACTGCCTTCTTGCTGCTGCTGCATTTTGCTGGCAGCGGCTCGCACTGTAACAAGAACCAGCTGGCTTTTGCTGCATTACAGTGCGGTCTGCTCATGGAAAATACACATTAGGGTCCAAGCACTAAACCCAGGAGCTTAAAGGCATCCCTGATATCACAGGCAGAAGCTTTGCATTGCTGTGACATCTGAGGCCTAAGCCCTTAAGGCAGGGGTGCTGCGCTGCAGCATGCCCCTCTGCGCCCCCAGTGCACCCTGCCCCTGTCGCTCCAAGCGCCGCAGCAGCAGCCCCCAACCAGCAGCCCAGGAGACAGGCAGAGGGCGCGAGAGCGGTGCGGTCACAAGAAAGCCCACGTTTGAAGGCAGCCGCGCCCTATGACCAACATGGGAGGGTGATGAATCTTGGGGTTTTGTGGCCCAAGAACCCCAATTGAGGTGATCCCTCAGAGGACAGTCCAGCACTGTCAATGAGTGCAACGGCAAAAAAGATTGAAGCATGGCGCGGCTGGCCCTTCTCTCTATGAACGCCGATATGTCCAAACCATGAGGAAACAAGGCGTCAAAGAAAACACCGAGAACCGCCCAAGACGGCAGTTCCAGGTGATGTCAGCAAGGGCCGCCCAAAAACCAGCCGGTGCAACTACCTCTGCCAAGATCCAAACAGTGTCGTCTGCCGCCCGCCGCCGCTGCCGCCGCCGCGCCCCCGCGCCCGCCCGGCGCCCCTGCCCCCCCGCGCGCGGCCGGCCCCCGGCCTGCCGCCCGGCTGCGCCCGCAGCTCCCTCTGCACCTCCAGTTGGATGTGGTAAGGCAGCTCTGACAGGACGGATGGGTCCACATCACCCAGGGTCAGCGGAGGGGCGCCTGTTGAGGAGGGCGCCGGCCCCTCGGACGCCGCCAC